GGTAGGTGGGTAGGTGGGTAGGTGGGTAGGTGGGTAGGTGGGTAGGTAAGTAGGTAGGTAGGTAGGTAAGTAGGTAGGTAGGTAGGTAGGTAGGTAGGTAGGTAGGTAGGTAGGTAGGTAGGTAGGTAGGTAGGCAGGTAGGCAGGTAGGCAGATAAATAGATAGATACACAAAGTACAAACGTTCACGTGAACCTCGTAAAGTAGAAACTTGAGTACGGTAACATAAAATAGTTTCCTAAATTACTATTATAAATCTCGATTTTGGGCATCATCTAGCGAGTTATAATCGAACGCAAGTATTAGTAACATTACGCTTTATTTCTGTTTGCCTCAAGAAACGATGTCAAATTTTCAACATCAGAGCATCGAAATTAAACCCTAGTTTCCTTGTGATCCTTTATTTCAAATAGTGATTGACATTTGGTTCCTCCATGGATATACAATTCCTGGCAAACATGTGAGGATGTGAGGGTAACTGCAGATCACTTCAATTTGTTGTATTGTGTAACTACCATCTCGGCTCTTCTTTGGTTCATAAGAAGACAGTTTTGTATGTGTACCGCACGGTCTCTTGTTGTTCAATACAAGTGTGAAGGTTTCTTGTGCATCCTCCAACATACTTAAATGGTTTAAGGTTTTAAAACTTTGGTTCTTGAGCTAATATCATCTGATCCTTGAGAAGAGGTTGAGCTCAGATTTGGATTCCTAATGAAGGAAACCAGAGAGAGAAAACAAAATGGTTAACGACTGCAAGGAAGTTCAAGAACGCCTCTCAAAAAACTCAGATGATGCGTGACACTATGACGATAAGCTAAATATGAGGCTGGAAAAAGGCTCTCGAAAGAGTCAAACAGTAGCTGGTTTACTAAACGTTTCGGGCTTAACCGTTCTTTTGTTTATGAAATGAGCGAGCCACGCCATACAAAAAACTACGCGTAGCACGCAAGGAAAGCGTGCGCACGAAGGGCAAAGTAAACAAAGGTGTGCTGCAACATATGGAAACCAATATTTTAGCGCGCGTATGTGTAATACGCGCTAGAAACACAGTCAAAAGCCAAAAGTTTGACTTGGTAACAAACAAAATAAACAAATTAGTAGCACAAAAATTGAGAGCAGCAGATACCTTGTGTGAGCGTGCTTTGTTGAAGACATTCCAAAATCGAAGAGTTTCATCCCCGGCTCCTGTTACTATAGCTTCACCATCAGGTGATACAGCCTGTGATAAATAACGAAAATCTCATTAGTTTTAGACCAGGGTTATGCGTCTCAAGTGGGTTCATTTTTAACTCCGTCTTGTGAATTGCAATAGCAGGTCAGATTATCTTTACTGATTGACATCGATTTTCTAAGGATTTGGTGGTTACGTTAATACAAATCTCGTCACTTTCGTCATGTTGTATGATGTAGTGTACGAACGGAGAGAGATAAAAAGAGCTGTTACGACTGAGCTGTCACTGTGTAAGAGGCATTATGGACGAACCAAGTTAGTAACGACTGCCAAAGAAACTCTCAACTTACCAGATAAAGAACTCTGTAAGAATGCCCTGTTAACTTGGCTACTTGAGTCAACGACGGATATTTCCAAACTAAGATCTGGTTCTGTGAGTAGCCGTGCGTACTAACCTGCAGTCAAGAACAAACGTTACAATGTCAAAGCTTTTTTTTTCACACATAATGACACACGATATGCACTGAGTTCGGTAGTTAAGTTGAACTATGGGCGATTATCCCAGTTTTAGATAGCCACATACAAAGAGTGCAAACGTTTGAGAATTCAAGTGAGTTTCGGAAGGTCTCTGGTTGTGCAGTTGATATAAGCACGACTTTCGTTACTTCACAAAGAGAGAAACTTCGGAAACTAGTCCTGTTGCGATCTGATTGGATAACACAACTCGGAAACCACCAAAAGCAACACAAGGAAATTCAAATACATACATACGTGTACTTCATTTATAGAAAATGCAAACTAAAAATACAAGTAAAAACTAAAAAAATTAAGGGGAAAAAGATGCATCGAGAAAAGAAAGTTACGAGGTTAACCCTATGTGAAAACTCCCTTAAAAGAGTACAGTAAAATCAAAATTCAAATTCAAATTAAGATCCTTAATCAATTAAACACTCAAGCACAATTTGAGCATGGATTTAAAAAACTGAAGGAAGAAGGGCAATGTTTTTTTAATACGTAAGTGACCTCAAGTTAGACTTTACAATACATTACTGGTAAATTAAATCAAGCACATATATTGCACTTTCCCATTCTAGATGTTAATTAAAATACTTACAATACATAGCCCCGAAAATGGTTTCTAAATCAACGAAACAAAAACACTCACTAGTTCATTAGAATGCTTAGACCATGCTAAGTTGCAAACCTAGCATGAGAAAGAAAATACAAGTACATTTAAGGTCAGTAAATACAAAAGGACACACGCTGCTTAGACTGTTCACACGAGGATATGTGCCACAAGGGCAACAGGACTAGCTACATGAACAATGACACTGTTCTATGTTTATTTTCATGGGAAGAGTCATGCGGACAGTCTGTATAAGGCAGCAGTACGTCATTTGCATAATGGCGTCATTTGACTACAACTACTAGAATCTTTCACTTTTTCCGTTTCTGTGGCTTCAAAAATTAAATAAAGAAAAAGCGAATTGAATTCCGGCAGTTGTAGTCAAATGATGATATCGTGCAAGTCTGCTATTGCAAACCTTGACTGACGATTTCAACCAATTTGAGTACAAGATATAACTTAGAGTGTCACATCAACAGTTTTTTTCTTTTGCCTATAACATGTTTACCACTCATGCCCAGTGTCTGCTCGCTCGTGTGATTTTGTGCGTATTTTTTCCCATCTATCCATTGGCTTGGGCCATCAGTCATCAGATATCTTACGGTACACACATCGAACTTGAATTACTTAACGGTATGTAATCTTTTAACACATGCTGTCTATGATCTGATCTGATTAGCATAATAATTCTTATAACTATTTCTAATTTATTTTCGTATTGTGGGAAATTGGTCCTACATGAACAGTTTACAAGTGCAAATATGGAAGAACATACTGTGATGTTTTCATATGAAAAACGTACTTCGACATGTAATAACTGAGGCGATCAAATCCATCATTCCTATAACATGCTGGGTTCGATTCGTTTGATTTACTATCTGTATTGTGCAATCTGTGTACTACAGTTAACTGAGCTGGATTTCATAAATAAATTTGATCTGATCTGAAAAGGTTAGGAGAAAATAGGATTTCATCCAAGGACATGTACCTGCGAGCCAGTGTCCACACACTGTAGTGGTTGTCCTGTTAGTGTATTCCAGAATCTGATGCATCTGTCGGCTGTACCACCCCCTGAGGAAAGCAGACCATGCTGTGGACAAACCACAAGGGAATATTGGATAAAGGTTCGTTGCTATATGATCTCTGCTACTACTGGATTTCAGCGATCTTTGTTACAACGATTTACTGCTAGAGAGTGGTCTCCATATGAACGCAACAATTGCTTAAGTTTGTTTTTGTTGTTGTTGATGCTTTCTTTATTGTTGACACAATCAGCCTTCGCAGTAAATTCTTTGGACGAAAGACAATCAATGAGCTTAACAAGAGAAAAAGGCCAGTCCCAAGGCAAGCATAAAACAAATAAATATGATTCAAAGCAAAAAGAAACTATAGCAGTGACAATGTTTAGATATCTGCTCTAATCAATATGGACTTTTATGACTTTATTGCTCCGTTTGCTCCTTAGTTTTGATTGAGAAGACCACATATCGACCACTCGAAGAAGTGTTTTACCACTTACAATGTATCCATACACCTTAAAGTTCGTCAAAAATACCCTGCTACGTGTCATATTTTCAACTCTCTTTTTGGCGTTAGGAAATGTGGTCAAACACAGTCAACAAGTATCGTGTTTGACATACATGTATTTATGTAAAAGCCTGTTTGCTCAAATGGCCAGCACAGGTTTAAAGAGGTGGAATATGTCACATATGTGAATGTTTACTAATACAATACAATACAATACAATACAATACAATACAATACAATACAATACAATACAATACAATAAAATAAAATAAAATAACAATGGGTGATGTCCTTCATAGCTTGTACAAAATTTACTGAACATACCTGATGAGGAGACCATGCGATGGCTTTGACTGCTGCAGAGTGTTCACCATACTGCTGCTCAGGAGACAGATTGGACAAGTTCCATACCAGCAGCTTGTTATCGTTACCACCTGATGCCAGGTGCTGATGGTCAGGAGACCACTTCAGTCCACACACCTGTTAATAACAGAAATTGTCTTCTTCAACCCTGTGTGTAGTTTAACTGGTTTAAATACCCACAAAATAACCCTTACAAGCCCTTTGAGAGAGGCGCTAGCTCAAGTTTTCATGAGTCATTTACATGGATTTTGTCCACTTGAAGGTAAGCCTGCAATAAGAGTATGGCCTATATGTACAAATGCACATTCAACCACATAGCAAGAAGAAACCAGAAATGTTGAGTCCCTTCTAGGAAATATTGAAGCAAAATGGCATCATTATCATCATCTGTGCTTTTTACGCCATATGACGCATAAGACCTTAGCACAGGGATAAGGCAGTCAAGCCAAATTGCTGCACTTGCCCAAGATTGCAGCAGCTGGAGGAAGCCTGTGGTCGCCTGTTCTACAATTGAAGCATAAGGACCATTAGACCAACCTCTTGTCTATGTCCAATCAGCCTTCTTTCCACTGGGCTAGGAGTCCTGGCATCACGCTGAAGAATCAGCCTATCTCTACTGCCTGATGATAGCATGTCACCATTCCAGGCCAGTGCACCTTTGATGAAATAAGAACACTGATCAAACCTGTTTCTCCGGCAAAACAAACACTCAATCTAAGGCCCCAGGTGTACTTACATCCGTAAACAGATACTCTTTTTAATACCTTTGCCGGACTTACAGTACCGGTCAAATGTAAGTTGACAGTCTCGACTTGAAACTTGATCCTCGATGCTTTTGAGGATTGAGAATCGAGTTTCGAGATGCTCGAAGAATTTTTCGAGAAAGCAATTTATATCTCAAATTCGTAACAATAGAAATAAACAATACCGCGCATCGTGTGGCTTCCTTTATTCGTGCAAGAGTACATGTATTTCATATTAATGTCCAAATCGTTAGTCTGGAGTTGATGTCTCGAAAATTTCAAGTCGTGACTCGAAAATTTCTGTCTCCAAAAGTAAACCAGCAAGATTGACATGTACGGGGAAAATTAATCGAGCGATAAATTCTTTGTCACTTCGACTCGAAACTCGAAGGACTTGACTCAAAACTCGAAGGACTTGACACTCGAAGTTTTCCAGTTTTGAGGATCGAGGATCGAGTCGAGTCGTTCGAGTTTCGAGTGACTGTCAACTTACATTTGACCGGTACTGTATGTGGACAAAAATATTAGTACCTGTTTAAAGAATAAACGCAATAGGTGGATAATTGTGGACATGTATATGTACAGTATCCTAAATTCACTTGCTTACCAACTCTTGCAGTATGTCCTTCAATGGTTGATACACGCTTTTGTGCAGCAGCATCCCAGATTTGAACAAGACCTTTATGTGTCCCAACAGCAACAAGGCCACTCTGTAACACAAAGACAATAATTTGGAATCAAAACAAGTCTTTAAAATAGAAGTTGAAAGACATAAATAGGAGTGCTACCAATTTTTCATTGCATTGTATTTATACTGTAGTGACACAACAGCACTTGTTCCTGCATGAATGGTACACAAAAACTGCATGCCCATTATTTTAGCCAGGGAGCAGAGATTCTACAAATCAAATTCAGTTGTTACTAAGTAGCTGTGACTGGATGATTGCAATATCACATTTTCAGTTTGGCAAACAGTTGTCTGTGACACCATCATTGTTGGTGAGGTAAATTCAGATAAATGTAGAGAAAGCTAAAAATGCATCACAACTCTACATTGTACTTGTACAGTATATTGCAAAAAAGTAAAAGTACATTCAAGTAATTAGAATCAAATAAATTCAGACTATACCCTTTCTGACCAAGACACTGATGTCACAGAGTCACCATCGGATGCAAGATCACAGAGTTTTGTAACCTGTGGAGAGAGTGACAGGAATATAGCCTTTCCTTTATTATTATTACAGTTAAGGACTTGAACCAAGAACACTTTCAAAAGATTAGCAGTTTTACACTGTAAAAATAGTGACTTAATAGTTTTGTTAATAGAAGAGCACTCATTCTTATATTACACCCCCCCCCCCCCAAAAAAAAAAAGAAAAAAAAAAAGTGTTTCATACCTGCCGTTGGTTTCCAATTTGCAGTGGGAAATGTTTTCATTTTGCAAATTAATGTTCTCATCCATGACTCAANCCCCCCCCCCCCCCCCCCCAAAAAAAAAAGGACAAAAGAAATGTCAAATGTTAATGGTTCAAGAATCGTCAGTGTAAAATCTACACACTGTACCATCAAGTCTTTCTCTGCTGACAGGAGGGGGAGGCCTCTTACAGCAGGGTATTTGATGGCCTTTTAGGTTACTAAGCATACATGTTTGTACAGTGTACTCATATCAATTTTGAGGGAGGTTAAAGAAATATGTGCTACATAAATGACTGTGTGCAATTAAAGCTTTGCAGAAAAAAACAAAACTAAAGTCTGTAGGAAAACATTTGAACTCAAATCAGTTAACAAGGAATTCTGGTATCAGATGTTTTCAATTGGAATTGTCTCATTTCTTTACAGGACATTCAACTACTAACTTGCACATTTATTGGTAACTTACAGATGGACTTTAATTCACTGGAAAAATGCTCAGTAAATCTGACTGGCAATTTTGTACTGTGTGCCTTACTTTGGACTTGTCTAGTTATGCAAGAATGTCTCCTAAATGTAAATACTCACTAGTTAACCCTAAATTTATTGAGTTTCTTCAAAACCTTATACTGCAAGGGTCATAGTTATGGCAGTGTCTGATCTAGGATTTCACTTTAGGGGGACATTCTGTCCCAGTCAACAATTTTCTAGGGGACATTCCAGTTTTTTGGGGGACACACTGTTTTTTTCTGGTGAATTTTTCCAACCAGGTAGATTGAAAGTTTCTCCTTGCTGCTTTGGCTTTTGGTTCGACAAAAGGGGTTTGCAATGTGCACATGCATCTAAATGTATATATTAAATTGACCCCTCTATAAGAATTATTCTACTTGTTCCCAGGAATCTCATCTCAGCCTCTGGCAGCCATTTTTATTTGTCTGTGTCATAAACATTTGTAAAACACATTTTGTTTTATATTGTCAATTCTCTGAAACTTCAAATTACACGAAGTTTTCGAAAACCTTAGGAAACGAAGGAAAATTACAAGTCAGTAGCTGCTGATGTTTGCTGGGCCAAAATGATCCACGTGACGAATATTTGGGGGACATCTTCTATCGAACTGCTCCAATCCCGCAATGGCACGCTCTAGATCAGACACTGTTATAGTAATATTACAACATTTGTTACCAACATTACTAACTGTAGTACCTGACTGGTGCATGCACTCCAAAGATAAACACATGTTCCCAAGCCAACACTTAAAATATTCTGCCCTGACCAATCCACAAGATTAAGATAAAAGTCATCCTGAAAAAGAATATTGATCAAATAAGTACATTTGTAAGTTCACTCTCAATGTAACAATGTGTACAGTCTAATCAATACATTACTACTAACAATTCTTAATCAGTTCTTACAGTGATTTCCATGGCATGTATCATTCCCTGAACTCTTATTACTTGGATATCTATCTATCCCAAAGCACACCATATATATGGCACAGTACTTACTGACACTGTTGGAAATAACATTTAATCTACAAACCTGTAATTCAGGAGCATCTAATACTTTAAAGGGTATCTTGGAAATTTTTCTTGTAGACTGAAAAACACAAAAATCTGAAACCTAAACAATGTATTGAAGTGGGATTCAGAGTGTTCAATATTTTTAAATACAAGTTACATGTACTAGCACAATTGATTTTGCCTTTGGTGAGAGTTTCAGTCCAAAGTTTTAACTTAAATATTTAATTGACAGTGGCAGTTGTGATCCAAACAAATAGCCACGTATAAAAATAATAAAATTTAAGATATTTTACCAGGGAGCCCATGTCACATAATTATGTGGTTTTCAGAGGGGCCTTGCATACCTTAAAAGCTAAGAGTTCACAGTCTAAAAATGTTACCTATTTCTACATTTACAGAGTTAAAGTTAACAATGAATAAATTATAAAATAAAATTAAGAAATACTCTTAAGGTGTCCTTTAAAAGTCTGTTTAATAAATTATTACACTGACCTTTCTCGGTGATCGTAGAAGTCTCTGACTGTAAGAAAGAGTAAATAACACAATTAATATAAGTTATTAATTGTAACATTGTAACATGTACATGTGCCTGAATGAACTTTATTGTCAAATATACAGTACAAAACCACAGTCATGTGGCTAAACCACTTGTAAACATGCAGCAGGTACATCAACTTATTTTTCAAAGTACACACATGGCTGTACCGTGAATGTATTTGTGCCAAAATACATGTACCTTTTCTTACTGACAGGCGACAAAGAATAAGAAGCGACTGATTCTGTGTCATCTTGCTTACTTCTTTTCACCTGGTACTGAGGAAGAAGGAATAGTAAAAACATGTTAACAAGAAACTACATCAGATGGTATCAAATGAATCAAACTGACATCTTTGTCTAATAATGCACTCTTGCTGTCACAGAAACATTTTCAGAGTGGACTAATAGAGAGTTTAGACTTCTAAGTAAGCTCATTTAAGAAACAGATTTCCCCTAAAAAATAAGCAGGTTGTCCAGTTAACACCTCATTCACATAGTTTTACATGTAAGCTCTTAATGTGTTTCTGGCCATAAATTAATCAGACATTCCCACCTGGAATATACTGTGTATGTGATTACTGTTGCTGGATAGTGCTCTTCTTTCCTCATGTGGCACTTCCTGAGTGGAAAAAACAGAGATCAAAATTACATGTAGCATACTTTATTACATGTGCTACTCAGCCTACAACTTCTTATACAGGCTAGCACAATAAACTCCAGTCTCTGTTATGATGCTAGAACTAAGTGTCACTGTAGAAGAATGACATTGCCCCTCCCCCCCACTACCCCTGATTTCCATCCCCCCTAAACCAGGAATGCCAGTCCATTACACATACACTAAGAAACATTTTCTTTTTTTGAAATTGATACAGTCTAAACCCACAGAAAAGACTGCTGACTGCTGTTTTGCATATATATCAAGCCTCTTCTCTCCAAGAAATGAAGCAGGAGAGGACAGATTACATGTATATGCATACACACTTACTGAAGTCAATCCATTGGCAAGATTTACCTTAAGGTCTTCAATTCCTGCACCGAGCAGCTCATTCTTCAACAGACACTGATAAGCCATACCTTCTAATAGAAAGTGCAAGTAACAAACATCAAGTTAATTGCAATATTCCAAATGTTCCCTAAGAAAAATGCCTTCAACTGTGCCTAGCAGTCTAATATTTTGTTTTCTATTTAACAGTTAATACTTAGACCAAACGACTGTATATTAAATTGTTTGATGAGTTTTCAGGCTATGAGCAGATGGTCAATGAAGTACAGCCAAGCTGATCATTGTACAATGTACATTGTATTGTATCTTCAAGTTTAATTTGCTTAAAACAGCCCTTTCAATAAATTTTGAAGCAGTGGACCTACCAAAAAACGTATGCAGCACATGTGCTTATGATTATGACACGGCTTCTGATATTTTGCACGGTTGCGTAGCCACGAATTTCAAGTAAATCCGCAAAATCCCGCAAAATTCACTAAAACACGCAAAATACCGCAAAATTCACTGGAAATCATACCAAGTACATGTTGGTGCAACATATCTGAAACTTATGTTCGCTGTTGGGGCTATTTAGTTGCCGTAAACTTGCAAATTTATCGTGAAACTTCTTCACTGCAACAAATAAACAACATCCAAAAACTACCAGGTGTTCCTAGATTAATGTTGCGAAAAACTGGGCACTCACTGTGGCCACGACGTAAAAAGCTTAACCATTAGTGCATTTCTTGAGCGCATTGTTGTTAGAAGGGCAAATGATGATTTCTGTTAAAAATAACCTTGTGGTCAAACAAATACAAACACACACTACATGTACATGTATAGTCCAAACGAGTTGCTCAGCTTTTCCTGCAAAATCGCTGGTTTTACAAAGGCAACATTTATAAGTAGTATGTGTCTCTGTTGCTGTTGTTATTGCATAGGCTAACACTCATCATTTTCCCCCCAAAATANAAGTTTACCCCGCAATTCTAAGGATAAGTTTCACGACAGTTGATACGTAGAATACTTTGTATTGATCAAAGCAGAGGCAGGTCTCTTAGCCTGAACCAATAGCCACTGGGCTAAGAACTTTGTTTACTGTTTTATATTTGGTTTATAATTTAATTGTCACTGCATTCTGACATGCCCTAGCCCCGAACTCTTAACATCATACTGCAAAATTGCGATAAAGTAAGATAATGTTACTTATCCTCACAGAATTTCCAAGCGGACTGCGTCCATTTGGCTGTCGAAGAAGTCTTCTCTCATATTCAGGGTCCATCTTCAGCTGTTTTTGAAGGTAACTTATAAACGTACTATGAAATCCTTTTTCACACTGGTTGATTGGCTTTTGATAGCAGTGCTTGTAGACGGTACCATGAAAATAAAACTGCAAATGTACACTGTAAGCTTATCTTCAAGGCGAAGTATAGGTCAATGCAAGCACTGGTACAAGTGGCCAACAAAATGATGTTCTCTAAAAGCGTACTTCGTTGGAACAAAAGCGAAATAATTTAACTCCAGTCGTCTATGCAACAAGCGACACCACGCTCTTTCACGTTATAACTGACAGCGGTGATGTAAAATGCAGTACTGTTGTCACGACCTCCAAGCAAAAACTCTGGCCAAAGTGGGCATAAAGAAGACAAGCTTGGCGAATTTTATTAGCTCACTAGCTATCCTGTTAATTGTTTTCAAAAAGCAGTTGCCTTCAGGCCCACAACAGCCATAGATAGAATCATTCTTCAAAGCAACATCGTCTTCATCATAACTTCCTTATCGGTAAAGAAATGGGATTTCGCAGAAAGCGGTTGTTCCAACACATGTAAGTTCTTACGTACAAGGAAGAATTATTCGCTCGCTCCCATGTAAGCGTTGCGCTTTCCTTTGCTTTTCTTCTTTGAAAGGAACCACAGGTCGCCAGATGGAGTGGAATAGAGGCAGATAACCAAACGTGTTAGAAATAGATGGCCACACGTGTGCCTTTTGAAAGATAGAAATTTCAAAATGCAAACGGCCACTTGTGTTGTTACTTTGACGCTTCTATTTAGTCAACATCCGGGAAGCTGCGCGACTAAAAGAAGACAGGGGTCTGGAAGCGTGTCGCTCCAGACTACGCGCGAAAAACAACATGGCGGAATTTTGCTGTGCTAAACATTTTTTTACAATTCTAGAATATCAACGTTGGATTTCATGTTGGTTTTAAGCGTTAACTGGTCAAAGAATATTAGCAATGTTCATTAAAGCTTTCCGAGTGAAATCCAACACTGCAATTCGAGGATCTGATCGGTAGGGTGCTTTTCATTGTGATTTGACGTGTACAGTTTTGGTTGAATTAACCGAAAATATTAGCTTAAGCTTTGCTATAACTTCAGAATTTAACCTTAATCGAAGGTTGTTCCATCAAAAATGGGCGTAAATGAAGACAGGGCTACCAGAAGCTCATCTGTCAAGCTCTCGAACCACATAGGGTCATTCCACACTTAATATCATATTGGCACCTCCCGTCCACATTGAGGGGCTTTGAATAAGTAAACTTTTTACCCCTCTCCCTCTTCCATAAGAAAGGAAGATCAAAGTGCTGATACACTTCCTCCTTCAGAATTTATAAACGATCAAAAGCACCAACACAGTTGTCCCTTCAGAAATAGCCTTCAAAGACTCACCCCTCCTGCTCAGATTTCCTAGGCCCTCATTTCTGGTGGAGGAGCGGGGCGGGGGGGGGGGGGGGGGGGGGAGGGAGGTGTGTTCCTAAGATCTGTAGCTGGTCCAGAATTAATAAAATTAATTATTATATGTCTCTGAAAAACTCGGTCCATATGATAACTTACAGTACGGTCCTCGAACTCGGTTAGTAAGAGGTACATGTATTTCTTTTGCTACTAATAGGTTACGTGACCTACAACTACAATCCCGAGTAATTAATTTTATGTACAGGTCGTGTATGTATGTTACTGTACTTTGATGTGGTTTTTCATAATTTCAAGTTTGTCTTAACACTTCAAATTATAGATTAATTCAACTTTTTTTTGTTGTAGTTGTTTTGTTTCTTAAATACATGTATGATAATTGTTATAAGGTTTGAATGTACGTGCCCCAACTACATGTAGCTCTTTCTAAAAGTTTCAAAGGACTGTTATGTTTCAAATTGGAGAACACGCCTCAGAAAACATTTAAAAGCCCTGATCGTCTTAATCATGCCATGTTCCGTAATTAACCTTTTGGCTTTGCTCTCAAATTACCCACTCAACTGACCTAAATACACTTAAGTTCTGTTGGTGGAGCTGGGTTATTCAGATGTGATTTACAGTATATCTGTTTTAAATTAACAGAAGAAAGCTGAGATCAGATGTAAGCCATGCTTTCCCTCGGTTATCACAAGAGGAACTTACTGAGATCATCCCAAACAAAGAAGAGATGTCTGTGATGCGTATAATGACTCATTCTGGACAGAATGTTACAGTCTTTTGTCTCAATGGAGAACCAATATTCTTTGATGTAGAGAAGAAGGTGATACCCACAGGTACTCAGATCTAAAATAGATTATTGTAGAAGTATTTTTTTTATTTAAGTTACTGTTTTTTTGTTTTTTTTTTTTAACTAAGCCCTTGGCCCCTGTAAATTAAAATCCTTGTTTGAACAATTTTTAAATGCTGGGTCCACAAGGTCAATTTTTAAATAATTTAACAGATGTCCCCATAATAGAAGTGTTGGCATTAACATCAGGTATCTATGACACCGCAATTATTGTTAGCATAATAATTTTATTTTACAATACTTTATTTCTTGTCTTAAAGTTTACACGCTGTGGAAATTCCCAGACATGTTACTGAGCTTCACAACATGGCCTCTTGTACTTGACAAACTAAAAGGAGGAGCAGGTATTTGACTGATTTTCTTGTGAATCGTAGTTTTTTAAAGTTATATACCATCATGTACATTGTATGTGACTCAACTATCAGGTTTTAGTTATATAGTGAACCGAAATTGACTGGTTCTGATCAGCAATCACTGGTTCATCAAATCCTGGCCAAGAACTACAGTATTGAGGACTCATTTATCATACAACGTATATGTAATGTTATTTTATAATTTTGTTTTGGAAGACTTGATGCTTCCTGGTGTCATCTTACCGTCAGATGGTTTGCCAGGATTAGGACACTTTGAGAAGGGTACACTATGCAGTGTTTGTCTCAAAGGAAACAAGTGAGTCAGTGGTAACATCTAACTAATACTTAAATGGAATATGGGGAAAAACATTAAATTTTCATATGTGCTAATGTGACAATAGTATTATAATATAACTATTACTTATATCAAAATATATAGTCATACAGTAGTGCATTTAAATAGGAACAGTCAACTGAGCGGTTCTAGATGTATATGTAAGTTAGTTTCCACAACTCCAGTAAGCATCATAGGCATACTGACAGTACTCAATGTGGTACATGTATGATTTTTGAGTGTCCTGGTTATTTGATAGAATTGTTACAACAGTGAATAGTTTTAATGGCAAAAATAGCAACCATGATCAATCAGCAAAACCATATTTTTAAGCTTACATGTCTGAAAACCCTGAAAGCTTTGAGCAAGATCTTTTCTGGGACATGTACAGGATTTTAGAGAAGGGGGTGAATTCAAGGTAAGGACTGGCAAAGGCGTTCCCCTGTAGGGGGTCCAGGGGCATCATCCTGTGGAAAATTATTAAAAATTAAGGTCCTTGGAAATGGGATTTCCAGCATTCTTAGGTGTTATAATGTCTGTTTTTTTTTTTTAATTTCATAGCTAATGGGTTTCAACTGAACCCTAAAACCCCCTAGATCTGCCCCAGGTCTTTGATTTAAAATACACTCAGGATTTCAACTTTGCAGGTTATTCATTAGCATGATTTTCCGATCCCATAGATTTGAAAGGTTGAATCTGAGTAATCTAATAAACATGGTAAATGACAGAGTCTGGCAAGTGCTACATTGTGGCGAGTGAAGCTTAGAGTTTTACAGCTTCGACTCAATGGTTTTCACTCATGTCCAATACACCCGACCTTAGTCTGATGGCTATAATGAGTTGTGCTGCAATATGGCTAAGTCTCTCGTGAAATGACTTCCGAAATGATCACCTTAGTTGATCTGGTTCAGTGCAGGTGTCAACCCCCAAGTTTTAAGAGGTTCTCCCAGGACAATTAAGTGCCTTGTCTCTTGATACCAGAGTCTTGTTTATTGATGATACAAGAATTTGGGTGGTTTGTTAAACTTTTGAGCACTAAGTACTACATGTATAATTTGCAGCAAATGTGAGTACATGAAGATTTCATGTACACTGTACAAACTAAGTACTTGTTTAGGATTGGTTATTGATCCAGGTGCTAGGTGCTGAATGATGTTTATACCTGATGGATGTGCTTCTTATGTTGTGTTGCCAGAGCCCCCGTGGCAGTTGGAACAACCTTAGTCTCCAGCAGAGACCTGTTAGAGGATGGTTTGCGTGGCAAAGGAGTCATGATTTTCCATGTCTACCTGGATCTTTTATGGTTTGTCTAATAAGAAACAAAAATTTGTATATTTGTATAAAATTGATTTTAATTAATTTTTAGGTTCTCTTTATTGATATTCAGTGGCGGATCTAGGAGAAGGGAGCAGGGGGTGTGCAACCCCCCCACCCCCGCCGCCTGGGATGACATGCAGCTTTCTAATATCACTGGTATTCTGCAAAAAAAACCTGAGGTGGTTTATTGTTGTTGAAGTACTGTAAATCATGGTGCACCCCCTCCTAAGAAAAATCCTGGATCTGCCCCTGATATTAAAATTAATTGAACTACCATGTACTATCTGTATACAGTTATGTATTTACATTGTATGTAGCTGTATGCACTATATGTAGCTGTAGATATCCCTTTGCACATGCTGCAGACCTAGAGGTAATCATTACCTAGTAGCATATATTTATAAACAGTAGCCATGTAGTTGCCCACTGTTTGTGTGCAGTATATACAGAGAGTTTATGGTTACTGTATTGCATGAAATCATTGTTGAAAATGTCAAAATTGTGGAGTCAGCTGGATGATCATAATATTGCCCAATGACATGAGCTTCTTTCACCACCCTTAATTGGACAGGTTAGGTCATGTGACCTGACACAGGAACACTTGAGGTTCAAACCTTAAAAGGAAACTGCACCTTAAGTCTAAATTTAAGCTGGAAAACATTCAACATTTCATTTAGAACCTTTTTTAGTAGCTGTTAGTATGTCCTGTTGGGACATGTTCTTGATGGTTAATGTATTTTGATTTTTTTCATTTTCTCAGGGCACAAGGGAGCAAGACTCAGTTACCTCAATTAGATATTTTACAAGACAAGGTTACAACTGATGAGATGAGTGACTGTATGCAAGAATTGTCAGTTGATGAAACAGAAAAGGTTGACCATGAGGTATTACAAGCAGGTAAATAACATTTATTTAAATATTATTATATAATATTTATTTAAATATTATTTATATAAATAACATCTTTGGCATATTAGCTTGGAAGAAAGTTAGAATCATTTCTAGTATCATTGTCTAACTGTCGTCCTTCATGTTGTTGGATCAGATGCATAAAAGAACATGTACCTCTTGCCAAACCCTTAGAATAAAAGCAAAGGAAATTAAATAAGATAAAAGTAATTAATATTAAATGTACCAAAATGTATTTAATAGGCAGATCATACTCATTTGTTAACCTGACACAACTTTCAAATTTCTTGTTTAAGAGACTACATGTACAGATAGATTTGTAGTACAGGAAGATGCTGACAATGAAGATGAAAGTTGTCTTGAGCAAAGTCATGAAATAAATGGCATGTCTTCAAGTGCTGCAAGTGCCAAAGATGAGGAACAGTCAGAAGAAGAAACCCTGTCACTTGATCCAGAAGACAGCACAAAATCACAGGACACACTTTTAGGTAGATTATGTTCACTGATTATTTTGTGAACAGTTCTGTTGTAGCATAATGTTTAATGTTGTATATTCATGAGTATTGGTGGACTGGAGACAGCACATGGTGGCCTTGGCTCTGTTTACTACCATGTATACCTGTATAACTGGCTCGTCATTAGCATAACAATGTCAGTTTCTTATTCAGCTAGAAAGGTGTCGTTTGTGGCATGATTCACTGTCCTAGACATTTGAGCCCAAACTCAAAGTTTGACAAAGAATGTCTGGGCTCATAAATGATTAGCCCCGCACTCGTACTTTTTGAAAGCCAGTGTCACTTTCAATATCAAATTTTCTGATTGCTCACTCAAACTAAACAATGTTTCAAGCTATTTTTCTGAGGTATAATGTACAACACTACCAAAGAAGGAATAATAAACTGAAAATATACAAGGATAATTATGACTGAAGAAGACAGAATATGAATGACAAACTTGAAAAAGATGGCCATCTTTTTCAAGCTGTGTGGTTCATTAGGTTAAACTCCTTTAAGCATTAAAGGATGTTACATGAGCATTAAGATGTACCATCGGCATGTCACTCAAGAACATTCAAGTGACAGCTAAACAGCGTCAAATTGCAAGATAAGTACCTACATGTAATTTCTCAGAAAACCTGATTTGTACACTTCTTAACCCCTGTTCTTACGAGTTTTCTAGGTGCAGTTACTGTTAGGTAACAATTTACTCTGAACATTCACAGAGAACATGGATGATCTTCTAGAGTACTGCTTCTTTTGTGCCCTGTTGAGGATGAAGAAAGTAGAATTACCAGTGTTGACTAGCACATTTTCTAGAAGTTACCTTTTGCCATCTTGGTGAGTTTTAGTTGTGTTGTGATTACACTTTTAACTGGCTACCAATTTTGTTTTCCTGCCAGGTTATTGTGATGTAGAAAGCAAAAATGATAATAAGGCACTCTAGAAACCCCACTTTATGCTGGGAAAGTATTTCCACTCAGTAGCATATCATTCTTAAGCTGTTTTAGGAAAAAAAGGTGTGCTGCAGAATTTTAATTTTACATTCTGTTATTCTCAGAATCAATAAGTCAGTCACTCACCAAAAGTTTCCTTTTTGCCCAGTTAGCTCATCATTCAACGGCCTGCCATGAGACCTCTATAAATTTTTGCGGGGGATTATTTTTGTGCGATGCATTGTCTGTACTAGAAATATGTGATTAGTACTGAGGGCTAAAGGCTTTACGTTTCTCTTAACGCAAGAAGTTGTCACAATTTGTAGTCTGATAGATGTTCAATGCACTCTTAATAGCTTTTTCAATCCTATTTTAATTTGTAGTCCGGAGGGAAAGTCAGTAGATATCAAGAAATCCTCGCATAAAAAGGTGAGTTAGGAACGTAGCTACATATGGTATGCTAATACCTCTGTCTGCAGTGATCTTTGATGTTCATAATAAAAATTATGTCAGTTTTGAAATGGGTTATTAGAGACAACCACTATATTGGGTTGTTCCAAGCATGGAAGAAAAACCGAATTTGTGTTGTGTAAGATAACACAGTTTTCTTATGCCCGGTTCAAACGCCGTACTTCACATGAGCCGAATTGAACATTAATGAGGGAGAACAAAGGATTTTTCTCATTTGCATTCGATGCGGCTCATGTGGAGTACGGTGTCTGAACTTGGCCTTAGATTCATAGGTTTCAGAAGAATGTGTATTAATCAAGTCATGAGCTGCTATGGGTTGACTCAATTGTTTGTGAAATTTTCATTGAAATCTTGACCACTCCGCTCGGAAAAGGGCTCATGTTATTGTTATTGTTTCAGTTGTCCAAATTTCTTCAGTTTATGCAAGAACGAGGTTTGATCTCAGTACAAGAGGCATCTAAAGGAGTTGATCATATTACTGCAATAACTTGGCATCACCCAGAGTAAGTGTTTACTTGAGATTAGCATGTTCATATATGCTTTTAAATCGAACAGCTAAAAGAACAACAATGACCCCTTAATCTGGCAGATGTGTGATATTCCTAATACATTTGCTGCGATGGAAGTGCAAAAGGAAAATTGCGCTTGTAGGAATTAGAGTCCTTAACACTGACTAGCATGTTATTTCTGCAAATTAAGTCAAGAAGAGCTGAATAGTCCAATTGTAGGTTAAGTCTGCATACGAACCAAGTGGCTCATCAGGCCGGAGTTTATCCCGGTTTCTGTAGCATGAAGCGACTAGGAGTATTTCTACTCTCCCCTGGATGGGATGCTAGTCCATCGCAGGGTTACCTCCCGGCATTAAATTCGCCGGTACATATTCATATACACCTGGGTGGAGAGAGGTACTGTGAGAGTTTTAACTCTATTTTGAGTGTCTTTATTACGTTGTGTTCTTGGGCATGACACATTGCCCACGAACACAACGTAATAACCCTGCCTCCCCTGGACCGTCCGGCCATTGCGCCTCATCGATTACAACGGTGCACTATGATGGCAGGATTTGGCGCGCAAGTGCTTTTCTCGACGGCAGTTGAACACTTTTCATGCTTATCTTTTATCCCCACTTGTACTTGGTTCTATTCGACTTTTTCAACAGATTAAAAGATTTTAAAGCAAGGAAGCCAGTTGTTGAAAGTGGTGCGGAGGTTGCGGACAGTTCGTCCCCTTGTGCTACTCAGGTGAACTATCTTTTGCACTGATTTTGCCTTTGCCCCTGTTGGTCAGGTGGTTAAAAAGAGAAAGCGGATGTTCTAATTAGCTTGAATATCAATTTTCATATCAGTGCCGTAGAAGAACATTTAGGTTGCCTTTTGCCTCTGTGTCCAAGGAGAGTCTTTGAGCAAAACTATTCTTGTGAAAATGTGTTACCCTTTCATGCAAACCAAACTCAATTTCGTATGAAAGATTTTGCGCTAGGCCTCGTTTTGAAACAGAGACACAAGGCAATTCGGAAATTGACTATTACTACGCTTGTTGCATTAACTTGGGCCCCGTTCGTACTACGCCGGAGAAATATGAAAACGCAGCTTTATTTCTAAGGTTTGGCCTATCGTCCACACTAATCCGTCACGAAAACGGAGCTTTTCGAAAACACTCTTCAAACCGAGGAATTTGAAAACGCCGGCTTTTCGTTTTCTTGTACACGGTCACAGAAAACATTTTGAAAACGGAGCTTTTCGAAAATGTTTATTTCACGATAATCACGTGATTGCCCCGCCCGAGTTTTTCTCAAGCACAAATCTAAAATGACCGGTGATCGTTGCGTTTTCAAGTTTCTCCGGCGTAGTAGTGGACGGAAAACATTTGCTGCGTTTTCAGAATGAAAACGCCGTTTTCAAATTTCTCGGCATAGTGTGGACGTGGAGCCTTAAGTCTGGTTTTCACTAGCGCATAAGCATAAGCAACATACGCAGATGTAATAAGGTGTTAACTAGCGCCTTTTCGTGGGAAATTGTTCTAAAAGACGGCGAGAATTATCGACATCTTACTGCGGCGTCTGCGTTTGTAGCTGTTTGTCGGCTATTGCTTAATTGCTTACTCACTAGTATTGCATTATCTGCCGAGAGAAATGAAGCCGTTCTTTTGTGGTAACTGCCAAGTAGTTTTAATCAAACTGATAAGTTTGTTTTGTTTTTCAGCCCCCGCGTATAGAAGAACTCTTTTCTGTATCAGCGGCTGTATTACCGATATTTTCAGAATTTGGATTCAGGTAGGAACTGGCAGTTAGCCAGTTAGCCAGGGCGTGTAGTTGCATGTAGTCTTGTTTTTACTTCTTGCTTTCATTTCTCTGTCTTTTTTCCCGCCAACTAAGCTATAAGCTTCAGTCTTAACGCTATACCTAAACAATTTACCGATCTATAGTATTCTTTTCTCGACCACGCTGTCGATTTCATATTATTTTATAAATTATTTCGTGTGTTTGTGTTTCAGTAAAAATGCAGTGTTGAGCCCTTCTGATGTTCGGTCGACCATTACAAAGTATGTGAAATCACACGATCTGATGTCAAGTGAAAACAAAAGGTGTGTACAACGATACAAGAAAGACAAACTGTCCAAGTGGAACAATATATCATTATATGTGATTACGTAATTATAGCGTACATCTTAGCAAGACATGGCCACTTAACTTTCTTACTCAATTTCGTGTTTAAAGTCTTCCGTTGCATTGGCCAGTTCTGACCTTGAACAATGCCTTAAAACTGGGCACTAGACTGGAAGATATCAGTCTTGGGGACTAAGTGGAGAATCAGATTTTAGAGCGCGGCTTAAGAACTTTGCATCGTAACGTTTTTCTACGATATTCCAAAAGAAAATGTGAGCCATTGTAGAATTCCGTCCTTCCTCCTTTGGTTCAAACAACTCTTTGGCATTATCTTTCCTGAATAAATAGCCTTTTACACAGTGGCCTCCCGTCACTTTTTTTCTTGTTGTGAAACGTCGTAAAATCGCGCATTGGAAGGCTAAAAATAAAGGCAGACTTGTGGCACTCGATCACTCGCTCAGATGTCACGTTAAAGACACATAGATTGCTTTCCTACTCCCGTTTCTGTCATTGGGATGTCCCATAGTAGGAACTGGTTCATGATCTGCATGTTTGTGTCGGATTATGGATGCACACAGGAATTTGGTGAGCTCAAGAGAAATGTAGGAGGTTCTCAAGGCAGAGCCAAGAGNCCCCCCCCCCCCCCTCCGAGATGAAGCCTTCTTCTTCCTATTCGCTTTTACAATTTGTTTACCTCACCAGTCAGTTACGCCATTTCTTAGTGGTGCACCCTCTCCCAAGAAAAATCCTGGATACGCCTCTGGTTCGTAATTGCTCTGCCAACGCATCTATAACTTTGAAAGGATCATGAAACGGTTCCTTGAATAACATGGCCACATAGATCGGGGAGAAAAAGGTTTTACTTCTAATGACAAGTTCAAAATTATCTTTACGGTGGTACAGTTATACCTTCTTTCTCAATATTCTGTGGGCAAAAACAAATCTCTGCAGTAAGATCCGTCACCAATTCGACTGGTCAGGATAGAGGAGCTGCATGAAAACCAGCTAAGGCTCATGGGGCTTCCTGTCTAAATATGGTCATTTATGTATTTATTTTTATATTGTTTGTATCTTGTTGATGTAATTTACCATGCACCTTGTTAATATATGTTCTCACAGGATGGTTGTGTTAGACCCCAGTCTTACCAAAATACTAGTCAACAAGAATGAGGATCTTGAACTTTTGCCATGGGATCAACTCTTCGAAAGGTTTGCTTTAGGTTTCATCTTTCCCTATCTTTCTCCCTCTGTTTCTTGCAAACGAAAGATCAACACTAAAACATGTTTACGGTTTTTCATAGATTAATAAGTTATAAATTTGCCATAACGAAAAAACATCGGAAAATTTTACGTTTCGGTAAATAAAACAGCTACAGTTATGTTCGTTTTTACGATTCGTGAAAAAGACAACACGGTCCCTTTTGTCGACCAATTCTATTTTTCTGGAGCGTGTACTTTTTATCGTTCGTACATCTGAAAGAAAGCAGACGAAGACGCGATTACCGACCACATAAAACTGACGATGAATGCTTGTCTTTTGTTTTGCAGAGTGATGTCAAAAATGAATAAATGTCACCAAATTACGTGTCAAGGACAGGAGCCAATTTTTAGGTCAAGTAGCATTTGAGTCCTGTGACGAAACGACCGAACTACCGACCGACCGACCGACCAGTTGATTGATCGATGAATTGATCAATAGACAGATGTTTTCGTTTGTTCGCTCACTGATTTTCTCTTTATTTCGACAGAAAAGGAAAGATAGAGGCCATTGAAATCAAAGTGGAACAACGGATGGGTAACAAAAAGGTATTTGATCATTACGGTTTTGGTGTTATTTTTATCGATTAACTAACTTTAAAGGTTCCCTACTAGAATTTTATCGTTAAGTCATGTCTTTGAAGAGGTTTGGAAGACCAGTCTCCAATCACAGTGAATGAAGGGCCATATTGTTGTCTGATTTCAAACTCATTTTGTGTCAGGATCTCTGCCACAACTGTTCAGCATCTAGTTCATTTTACATTAAACCGGGAAGACTTACTGACTGATAGACTGTGACAAGTTGCTATGTTATCTAGAATGTGGACAGAGCGAATGACACAATATTGCCATTCACGGGCGGAAAGCTGGCTTTCGTGTGAAGAATAATAATTGACTGCTCCGAAACATGCATAACACCGAGAGTGAAACATTCTTCCTTACCCAAGTCCATCAATACTATACCACCTTTATTGACCTTAAATTTGGTAAAAAGTTGTGAAAATACCTTGGTCTGTTGGTCAATGTTCTGAATTAATTGTGCGCACTATTAATGAATTGTTGCAGTTTGTGAGGTCGTGGTATTAACTGTAGTAGAGACGTAATAATATGTCATAACTGTTAAGACGGGAACCACTACTAACCGTTTATATTGACTTTTAGGTCACATTGATCCGCAACCTTGAATCCTACGGCATTGATCCGCAAGAATTTGCTCACAATATTCAGATCAAAGCTGCGACTAGCACATCAGGTAGCAATCGATCAATGTAGTCCTTGGGATGGTGGAGGATAGCCTCTAGGAGGGCGGTATGGAAAATGTCCTAGGGATGGGGCACTAATAGGGTTGTTAGGGATAGTTTAGCCAACTTCTGCTTTGCATTACAGGAACTGCAGTGTGATGCTCAATGAATCAAGCAAGTTTAATGTTCGTTTTTAGTTTTCTGTGATTTAAAAAAGAAATTTATGCTCAGTTGCATTCACACTAAAATTACATTGAGCATATTTCACTACGATATAATTTGAAGTTGAGCATATTTCAATTTTCATTCGTGAAAGGCAAACTCTGGAAACAAACGTCCGTATTCCAAATAAATTGAAGTATACCTTTGCCAATTTCAAGCTGTTAATAATCTTGGTAAGCGTTTACCTTTCCACGGACGGAGCACAACAATTTTTGAACAAATCATAATGTATCCAAGTCAAAGAAGTTAGAAAAGAAAGGGTATGACTTATACCAGAATTACGGAACAGCGGTAGAAGTTGAAAGCATTTGCATAAAAAGTGAACTTTTTATATCTCGTTATCTGAGTAAATGAAAAGGTGTATGCTTAAATTTTCTTTTGTATTGAATCCCACACATTTTGATTTCTTCTGCAGTTACTCAGCTTCCAGGGAAACATACTGCACCTGGAATGCAAGTGTTAGTTCAAGGAAACCAAGTAGCTATTGTAGCCAAGTTTCNACTGCGGCGTCTGCGTATGACGGCTTATGCTTATGCTTACTCACAAGTGAAAAGCAAGCTTTATTCTCAGTATTGTACTATCTGCCGAGAGAAATGAAGACGTTCTTTTGTGGTATCTGCCAAGTAGTTTTATCTAGCTGACACGTTTGTTTGTTTGTTTGTTTGTTTGTTTGTTTGTTTGTTTGTTTGTTTAGCCTCCGTGTATAGAAGAACTCTTTTCTGTGTCAGCGGCTTCATTACCAATATTTTCAGAATTTGGATTCAGGTAGGAACTGACATAGCCAGATATGACTTGTAGTCGCATGAAGTCTTGTTTTTACTTCTTGCCTTTATTAGTCTGTCCTTTTTCTCCGCCAACTAGGCTATAAGCTCTTGTCTTTAGGCTACACTTTACTGGTCTATTGTATTCTTTTCGCGACCATTATTGTCGCTTTTACATGATTTGATAAATTATTTTTTGTGTTTTTCAGTAAAAATGCAGTGTTAAGTCCTTCTGATGTTCGGTCGACCATCACAAAGTATGTGAAATTACACGATCTGGTGTCAAGTGAAAACAAAAGGTACGGTAGTGATTCAAAGAAGACAAACTGTCTAAGTCGACCAGTATATAATAATTTACATAATGTTGCAAGACCT